CTAAATTGGTGTCGGACCTTTGATCCTATGATATTTAGACTGGGTTCCTTTGTGTACCAAAATGGCTACGGACCTTTAATCCTGCGATATTTAGATTGTTCAGAAACAATACATCAATTATCCATTATGGTGGAACCTTGATCTCATGTCCTTTGCATACAAGACATTGTTAACAACATCTTAACATACATGTTCCTCTATTACCAGGGAATCTTATCTTTGAGCCTTGTGTCGTAACCGGCAAAAAATATGAGAGTCGCCACCACTACTTTTTGTCTTAAGGACGGGGAAGAACGGATAACCCTAATTTTTTAGAGATTCTAAGTTCGCGAGTTTGTTATACGAAGGGAAGGTGTTAGACACCCTTCATCTCTCTTGTTCTCAAGGGGCATCCCATTTTAGGTTGTAAGGAAATCAGTATTTAACTGTATTGTTTCCATATGTTTGAGAAAATGTTTAATTTTTGTTATGGGACTCGCCTTGGTTTTAACCGCGTGCCTACATATCTTCTTTTAAAGAATCATAGTCCAAATTTATAGTTTGTAGATTTTGTTGGTGTTTTTTATAGGATTGCATAGAATTACCAGGAAACATCGATTAGGTGATCGGAAAATGAATAATCATTAAGGTTATTGGCACCAGTAAGGTTACCGGGAAACATCAATCAGGTGATTGGAAAATGAACAATCAGTAAGGTTACTAGCATCGGTAAGGTTACCAGGAAACATCAATCAGGTGATTGGCAAGAATTATGACTTATGATTATTTTGACGTGTACTTTGATTGATGCATGAAATGTAATGGTTGATCGATGCATGTAATGAGTGACTTGGATATGTATCAATGGATGTTGGACTTTGAAATGTCAATGAATGATTGATATTGTGGGGTAAATGCCAACTGAAGTTGGGATTTTTGAGATTAGATTCATGTTGTTGGAATATGTCAGATGGATGAGATGATATGCATGGTTTGATGCTAGAGCGAAGCGACTTAATGAATGCATGATAATGATCTATGATGACTCAAATGATTTTGACTGGTGCCCCTATGGTGGACAATGAAATGATTAAGACTTAAAAAGGTTACTAGTGTAACAAGAATGATTGTTGAAAGGTGGTAGGATATTATGCTAGCATGACTTCCCGACACTCGTTTTGAACTCGAAGATTGCTCATGTAGGGAAGGGATTCATTGGGGGTTGCAAAAGCTTTCCCCCTTGTGGCCCGTCTTTGCCCTAATTTATTGGGTTTTTGCATAGATTCTCCTTGATATGAGCTTGGAAGTAGTTTGACCATATTGTGCACTTGAGATGGTCGATCCCACTATTTTGAACCTTCTATACCCCTAATTAATTGACTCTCAGAATGATTTTTCTCTAACGAACCATTTTGAGTTGGTTTCTGAGTCTCGCAACGGTCTGCCCCCAACATTTGAATCTCGAAAGGTATGCCCCGATCCTTAGGGTTTTAAGGAGTGTCTTGAGAAGGAACTTGGATACCACCATGTTGTGATATGAACTTTATATGGACTGCTCCAAATTTTAGATCTTGAAAGGTTTGTCCTTTGAAGTTGCTTGAAAGAGAACTTGTATCCTACATGCCGTAAGATGAACCTGATATGTCTCCATATTTGGGTTTCAAAAGGTTGCCCCTGATTATCAGGTTCTTGACGATGTATGTCCCTGATTGATAAGTGCTCTAAGACGTGACTCAAGTTGATCCAATCTTAGAATGATTGCCCCTAGTCAATATGATCTTCATGTGATATGCCCCTATGATCATTAGAATTTGCCCCTAATTATGGAGGCCCTCTTATAGTCTTTGCCCCTAGTTAGGAGCTTCTTGAAAAGGACCGCCTTGATCAAACCATTATTGAAATTTCCTCGAAGATAAGTATTGATTTGTAAGCAACATTGTACCTTTTTAAAGTAATTCTAATGTGATGCACATGCAAGTTTTGAAATCGAAATTTGTTTTGGAATAGAAATGGATGATTAGAGATGAAGATGTGAAAAAGAAATATGGTTAGCACTAATTTAATAAACATTAGGAGTCAGTTTAACACAAATTTTGTTGAGTATGCTTTCATAGTGAACCTAGATTCAATTAGGACTTTTGAAGGTTGTAACATGGCCTGGTTCACGGTTTAAGAAACAAAAGATATAAGACTCAAAATTATTTTAACCCACCTTATTCTCCCTGACATTCTCCATTCCCAAATTCAGTTAACTCAACGAATGAATTTAGCCTACAAGAGAATTTTCGTAGTCGCGATGATGATAAAAACATTGATAAGGTTCAAGCATTGATGAGAAGCACTAATGATCCTTGAGGTGGAAGTCACAAGCTTATTCTCCAATTTATTTGCTTTCAATCCCTTATTTTTGCATGGACCAATTCTTTTGAATTTTTCGGTCCATCGAAATGCCCTTTTACATAAGTAAACTTTTCCAGCTTTTGGATTTCTCTTCTTGACTTAGCGGGCCTCTTTTTTTGGAAACAATTCTTGAGATTTCAATTTTGGTTTTAGATTGTTTGTGACTGCCATGCTGACTTTTGTGAGCTTCATCTTTATTGCTTCCTCAATCTTTGGATGATGTGCGTGAGGAAGAAGATATGGTGATCTTTATCTTTCTTGCTTCCTCAATCTTTGTTGATGTGCGCGAGGAAGAATATGTGCTTGAACTTCTTGCTTAGATGGACTGATTCTCTTGACTTCAGAATGCATCATTGAATTAATCGAAAGACTACCCTACCCCTGGTTGAGATTAAGGGTTTCTTTGGACAAATGAAAGAACTCCAACTTCTAGCTCGAGGGAGTTGACTACGGATTAACTCCTTATGTATCCACTGTTTAGGAAGTGAAATAATGCCTTATATCATCAGCCAAGTCTTACTATTAAAAAGCATACACAAGCAAAATTCAGTTATTTAATTTACATCATTCTTCCTTGAAGTTTGTTAAAGGTGAAAAATGAAAATGGAAAGTCGTTGATATTTATGGTAAGTGATGGTGTAATGAAAGAGTGAATACAAATGGATTAATATCAAAAACACACATGCTCATTTTATTAGAATAACTAATCAAAAGGTACAAAGTTTACACCAAATACAACTTAGCAACAAAGAAATAACAAATTGAAAATGATAAAGCCTATTGATCCTAGGGACACACCTTTTTCTTAATCCACTTGAATTTAGGATATCTCCTTGATAATCTTGGACTTGTCAGAGTAGGAGGCGACCCTTTTATTTTCTTCTGTTGGGGCATACTAACTTTATTGACGGGGTAATTGTTGCAGTTGACATTATTGCTCTTTATATGGGGGAATCATCCACGGTAGTTGCATTTGAGGCGTTGTGTAGTCTCGTAGTTAAAGAGTTCCTTCTCTCTCTAATAGGACTTGTACTTCTTGAGTCTCTCCATAGATTTTTTGAGTTCATTTATGAGCCTTAGGAAATTAGCTAGCATGGATGAAGGTTGGACAAGGGAGAAAGCGAAAATGATATGCACATGTATAAATGTATGTATTGGATGTATGAAAATTCATGGGTATGCAAAAATGTTTTTTCAGGGTATGCTAAATATTTTCATGGGGATGCAATGCAATATGGACTTATGATAAAGATAAACCTAAGGACAAAACCCTAATGGGTGACAGTTAAAAAGGAATCCCTTCGGGTTAGGGATTATAACCTACAAAAGAAAAACCCTACAAGTTAGGGATTAAGATTTTCAAAAGAAAATCCCTATTGGCTAGAGATTATGATAAACCAAAGAAAACCCTACATGCTAGGGATTGTAGTAGACCAAAGGTAACCCTTGCGGGTTTAGAAATTGTAATGGATAGAAGGTAACCCTTGTAGGTTTAGGGATAATGACAAGATATCCTTTGTGGGAAGGTTCCTCATAAAGGATAAGATATAAATAAAACACCCTATAGGAGGACTCTTATGGTTGTTTTACGGATATTCTATGCTTCCCCATAAGGGTGGCTTCCTTAAGGGTATCGTGGATAACACTATATGGAAAAGGCACAAGGGCCTCCCTTAAGTAAGTCTCTTTGTAGACCGAGACTTTCGTCTCATAGGTCATACAAGGCCTCACCATGAGATTTTGTTTTAGGGTTATACAAAGAGTCATTGGTCAAGTTCCAAGTCCTACCTCCAAAAGAGTCTATCCCTCTAAAAGATATTTCTCGAAATTCGACTTACTCTAGGCGAAGTCGTCGCAAAAACTCCTAGGAGTGTTAAACCCCCTTGGCCAATTGAAAAAACTTCTTATAAGGTTTGATATTTTATTTTTGAAATTAAATCCCACCAACAATAAAAAAAATATGATAATAATGCGATAAAATAAATAAACAATAAACAAATAAATAAATATGGAAACAAAACATGTCATAAATAGAAAGAACCTAAGAAAACCATAGACCTAAAAGAAGGGGAAACTGTAACCCTAGGGTTGTGTCTCCAACAGAATCACCAGCTGTCGTAACTGGCAAAAAATACGAGAGTCGCCACCACTACTTTTTGTCTTAAGGACGGAGAAGAACGAATAAGCCTAATTGTTTAGAGATTCTAAGTTCGCGAGTTGGTTAGACAAAGGGGAGGTATTAGGCACTCTTCATCTCCCTTGTTCTTAAGGGGAATCCCATTTTAGGTTGTAAGGTAAATCAATATTTTCTATTTAACTGCATTGTTTCCATATGTTTGAGAAAATATTTAATTTTTTAGTTATGGGACTCGCCTTGGTTTTAACCGCGTGCCTACGTATCTTCTTGCGAAGAATCAGAGTCTAAATTCGTAGTTCGTAGATTTTGTTGGTGTTTTTTATAGGATTGCGTAGAATTGCATTAAAATTATCCTTGAACATTGTCTAGGTTTGAAAAATGTGTGATCGTAGACGTAGTTCGCGGTTTTGATTTGAAAGTAATCCAACAGTCCTTATTTTGAAATAATCTCGATTTGGGTATCGCGTGGAGCGATAACGTTTGATTACTGCATAGAGAAAAATCAAAGTTTGAGTGAATTTTAATCGCTTTGATTTGAATAATTCATTGGTACGACGTTAAACAGCTCAATCAATTATTCGAGGATATATATCATATTATTTCAAATTTAAGCCCAATAAGTCCAATATTTCAAATTTAATCCTTAAACAAAAACATAACACAAATATACAAAAAATCATGAAATCAAAAAAAGGAGCAAAGGAATTACCGGTGGTAGATTGTTGGGAGCGGATCGTGCTTGTCGGAGATTTTTCGGAAAAAGGCTGACCGATGTGTCGTGATCGTCAGTGGTAAGCGACTTCGGATTCGGCCGGTGTGCGATGGGATCGTGGCTGACGGAGTAGATCGTAGTGGTTGTTCGGTGGTTGTCGAATCCGGGGCTGCTGCGATTGTGTTTCGAATCCGTTTCCATGCCTTTCTTGCACTTCTTTCTTCTCTGCTTTTCGTTTGCTACTGCTTGAATTTCGAACAGTACCGATTTCTCTCTGTTTTTAATTTTGTCTCACTCACTCGCAATTTACAAATTTGAGTTGGAATGATTGTTATATTGGTTTTAGGCTTGGTTTTCTCTGTTTGCTCTTGGATTATAAAAGAGTGATAGAACAAAACTTAAAAAAAGAAATTGAACATGGTGTTGTGGTTATTGTTGAATGAAGAATTTAATTAATTTGTTATTGCTTGGTGTTGAGAAAGTTTGAAGAAATATGATGTGTGGTGTTGAATTGTGGTTGATATAGTGATTTTGAAAAGTATGAAGTTTATTTGTGTGAAGAAAGAACTTGAAGGTATTGTACAGTATCTGCAAAACCATGCCATCATTTAATAATTTCCTTTTTAAAAAAAAAATATAGATCTCAGAGACTCAGACCAAAGGCTTAAACGAGTGAGAGAGTGTTATGTGGGATGGTAACGTGAGATATTGCAAGAATTTGTGTGTGTGATTGCAAGATTGTCGGTGAAAAATTGTTAGTCCGTAACTGTGAATATACAAGAGTATTTAAAGGAATAATTAAGTCAATAAAATAGGAAAATGATTAATTGACAAATCATATATTCTTTGTTCAGCAAGCTGACAAATCAGAAATTGAGTATGATATAAATTGACACCTATTGACCAATGAGAAACAATTAACTAGAAAAAGAAATATTTTTTGTATTTATTATGATTTTTTCACTCAATTTTGGTAAAAAGTGCATAAAATCAAATAAATATTTTTTAAAAAAAATATCTTAAAAATAAAAACGAAAATTGAAATTAAAATAGTAAAAAGTACATTTTTATGATTTAAAAAATGGAAATAAAGTTAGTAACAAATGAAAAGAAAAATATTAAAAAATATAGCAAGTGAAATTCGAACACATAACCTTTTACTTGCAAACCTTATCTCCTCATCAATTGTGCTATTTAAAATAATAAAGCACTTGAAAACATATTAAGGTCCAGTAAATATTTGTTATTTAAAAAAATACAAATAATTTAAAATAAAATATTATATATTTTTTAAATAAACAAAAATAAATTGAAAATAAATATTTATAAAACCCAAAATATTAGTGCAGGTAAACCAAAGAAATTTATAAAACCAATTTTGAAAATTATTTGACTGTAGAAATAGGGCGGGCAAATTTGGGATTTGACACCTTGTGCTGAGCTTTTCCATCTCTTACTTGCTTAAAATCTTAATCAAAGCACATAGACTCTTTGGAGTGATTGAACATGACATTTCATTCATTCATGCACCTCATGCATCTTCATGCATCCATAACAGGTACTTAGAGTTGGGTGATCTTCTTATTTCGGTCTTGATATTCTCTGTTAGAATTATAAATTTGGACTTTTCACCGCTCCGTGCTCAGAGATCAGTTATGGAATAACTTCGTGAGGGTTTGGCCGAGATGAAGGCTCGTATGGGGTTATTTATGATAGACATGCAAGTTATGGCCCGTGGTCAGGAATTCTCAAAAGAGGAAAACGACCAGTTGAAGACTCATTTGAGTTTGATCATGGAAATTCTGAAAACAGTATTAAGAAGAGAAGGTAATCCTATACTTGTTGCTGCAACAGAAGCCGTCATTCCTTCCTATCTAGTGGGATCTCTTTCAAATCACGAGGTATTTTATGGATCTCTTCCACAACTTTGTGTTCCCAGGTCTCCTCGTTCGTAACAAGTGTTTGTTTCCCAAGTGAATCCATGGGGGCAAAGGCATATCAAACAGAGACAAAAGAATCCTGAGCATCAAGTTAACCCAATTCTAATGCTCTATGGCTAGTTACTTCCTTGCTTCTTGGAGTTTCAGCTGATTAAGTTCCGTAATTTGGGTCCTCTCCCCCATAAACCTCACCCTTAATTTTGATGCTAATATTAGGTGTGTCTTCTATTCTAGGGCACCTGGTCATGATATCGAGGAATACAAGGGGTTCGAAGTATAAAGTCCAACACCTGATTGGCCTCTTTTCTAAAGTCTAATTCCTGTTTGGCAAATCGTTTCAAACTCTTTCTCCCCAGTTGAATATCTCTTATGTGTAGTAGAAAATTAAGTTTCTTCTATGTAGTAGAAGATATCTCGGAGTTCAGTTACAGATTTAAATCTTATGTGTAGTAGAAGATGAGGCTGAAGGTATCCTCGAGTGCAATTTATGATTGTTTCTTATATGTAGTAGAAGATGCTTTTGATTACAATTTCTGAATAGTTCTTTCGTGTAATAGAAGACATAGTATGTATTATTCTCTTCTTCTGTATAATAGAAGGTGAAGTGGTTTCTTCTATATAGAAGAGGATATTCGACTCCTGATCACTTGCTGTTGTGTAGAAGAAAATACCTCAAAGGTCAAGTTCTACATTCAAATTTGTTTCTTCTATGAAGTAGAACACACTAGGTGATTCAGTGTGCAAGCTCGCTTGGTAAAGCATTCATCTCATCTTTTTGAGAGAATCCTCTATGAATATCATTCTGGGGTACCTGACCATTCAATTGAAGATGACATGTTATCTAGAGACAAGGTCCAAGATTGGATCAATGCAGAGACTGTTGTGTTCACACCTTATCAGAAGGGGAATCTCTTATCCAAGTGAGCATCAAGGCTACAGAAAGTCTTCAAAATAAATAAGTCCATACGGAGTCAAGTCTCCTCAACAATGGCAATCATGTGTTCTTTACTGCATTTTCATTTGTAATCTTGCTGGTTTGTTTAAACGTTGTTTGCATTTATAAATTTGTTTGTTTTTTAACGTTAAATTTAATGCAATGAGTATGTTTATCTTGAAGTAATCCATTCGCTTTTGCTCACCCACTCGTTTGCATTCATGAAAGCTTTTTCTTGAATAACGATACCAACCTTACTAAAAGTATTTTTCTTAGGCAAATATTAGTGGGAGGATGACATTGAAAAAACACAAAAATATTTGGTTGTATGCTTTTGAATAAAGCCTTGTTGATGATGTACAAGCATTGTTTCAATTCCCAAAAACCAGAGATATAAGGGAGTGAAACCCTCGTTAACTTCTTTGAGCCTTGAAGTGGGACGTTCTTTTCATATAAAAAACCCTCATTCTTAACCAAGGGGTATGGTAGAGTTCAGTTAATGTGATCGACCATTCATATATCAAGAGTGTGCATATAAGGATCAATCACAATGGTTATCCTTCACCCATCAAGAGGTCAAAAGATGATGAAACCACAATAATTATCCCCCATCTACCCAAAGAGCAAGGTAGTCACCACTTTTTGACAAGTCAAAAGACTCAAGATCACACGACTTGTTCAAAGAAAAAGAAAGAAACGATTGAAAAAAGAAAGGAAAGAAAAGCCTGATAAGTCAAAAGAAAAAAGCTTGAAAGCAAATGACTTAGGCAAAAATTAGGGCATCCAACTTGACTGCAAAATCAAAATTCAAAAGAATTTGTCCAGGAAAAAGTTAGGGAAAAATAAAACAAAAGAACAAAAAGCAGACATAAAAGGATTGCGAAATAAAATCCTCAAACAAAGAACAAAGTCGTGGGATCAACTACCAAAGAATGAAAGGTGAGTGAATGTCGTGTCCAAAAACCTCGTTGATTCCTTAAACCATCTTGAATTCATGTTGAGAGATGAATGCTTGTGTTGAGTTAATTGAACTTAAGAATGGTGAATATCACAGAGAATGAGTGGGTTAGGTTAGACTTCGAGCCTTAAATCCTTTGTACTAAAACTGTGAACTAGACCACGTTACAAACCCTTGAAACTCCTAATTGAAACAGGGTTTATTTCGAAGGCATGCTACAACGAGATAACGTTTAACTGACTCCTAAGCGGTGTGCTTAAATATTTGTGTTGGTATCATATGCTTGCATTATCTTTCATGTAAAAGGATTTTCAAATTTTACACTTTTGCTAGAGTCGTAACATCATTTAAATAAAAAAGTTTTAACTTCAAGACTAATATAAGCTTTGTATTACAATTTTCATTCTCAGAACAGACTTGTTTCTGTTTACAAATAGTTACTTGACAACAAGGAAAGTTTCTATGATGTGAATCAGTGAAGGAAATGATCACGTCAAAGTAAAAAGACTTAAACTCCTTGGAGTAAAAACCAATCATTTTAAGAGAACGGTCATAGCCAGGGGCATGTTTCCTAAAGACTCAATTGAGTATAAAAAAGTTGATTTTGTAGTTTGATCACCCTATCAAGGATGAGTTTGAAGTCTCTGTTGAGAAAAAGATATGTCGAGTGTAGCCAATCTGGGTCAATCAAGTCGAGATGTGATCTCTCAAAGTTAGCCGATTCGGGGCAATCAAGTCGAGATGTGATCTCTCAAAGTTAGTCGATCTGGGGCAATCAAGTTGGGATTCGATCCCTCAAAGTTCAGTCAATCGGGGGCAATTGTGTCAAGGTTCGACAAATCTCTCTAAGAATTTATTGATCAGGGAGAAATAGTTCGGAACTTGAAGATATTAGGGCAAGTCACCCCGAATAATTATGGTAAAAAGATCCTTGCAAGGTAAATCTCTTCATAAATCCCATATCTGGGGAGCAAGGCGTAAATTTAAAGAACTTTCATTCACTTGGGAAAGGTTTCGGCCCAGTACAAGAGCAAGGACCCTCAAGGTTCTTACCAGCAAAAGACTCTTGGTTTATTTACTCGAAGCAGTACACTTTTCCACAGTGAAGTATTCACGGGTTCACTTTTCCCCAATGGAGTCTGCACTTGGGCTTTCTTCACAATATTGGTTTTCGGGAAGTTTCTACCCCAGTAAAGTTGTGGTTTGTTGAAATCCTTTCGAGGTTTGCTTCCCCAGTATAGACGGCACTTTTTGAGAGTTCTCTTAACAATTATCCTATTCCCCAATGATGGAAGATGTTGTATCATCCCTAGTGGAAATTAAGCTTAAATAAGTTCTTGTTCAAAAAGTTCTCTCCTCCCAAAGTGAA